TGAGGGTATGCTTGTGTGCAAAAAGTACTTAGACTAAGTAGTGGATGTGTGCCTGTAAGCTTCAATAGAATCTTAGCTATAGCTAAAGGAAGTTACCAAAGAATATATTTTGGTTAAAACTTTTTCTGTCTTCCTGGAAGGAGAGAAGGAAAGAAGGAAGGAAAAAAGGAAGGAAGGAAGGAAGGAAGGAAGGAAAGAAGGAAAGAAGGGAGGAAAGAGTAGCCTTAAGGAAGCTTAACTTATTAGTATCTTAAACCGGGCCAAGAGTGACTCAATTATTCTTCTTTGGCCCAGTCAAACATGGATGCAAGTATCATCTAAACTTGATCCCCAGAGCCAGCCAAATCACAAAATTCTGGCTTTATCTCTTTTCTCTAGGTCAATTCAATTCAATTCAGTCAACATATGTTAAGCACCCATGAAGTCCTTGTCACCAGAGAAATAAAGATGAAAAATAAGACAGTTCCTGCCTTTAAGAAATTTATAATGGGAGGGTGTTGATAACATAACTAAGTTGTCGTTTAGTGTTTTTCACTCATGCCCAACTCTTCGTGACCCCATTTTGGATTTTCTCTGGCAAAGATAAATACTGGAGTGGTTTGCCTTTTCCAGCTTATTTTACAAATGAGGAAACTGAGGCAAACAGAGGTAAGGGACTTGATCAAGATCACACAGGCAGTAAGTGTCTGAGGCTGGATTTGAACTCAGGTCTTCCTGACTCCAGACCCCATGCTTTAGCCACAGGGCCACCTACTTGCCCTAACATATAACTAAGTAAAGTACCAAATAGACTGTGATCACAGGTATTGATTATAGAATATCAGAAGTAAAATGGGCCTCGGATATCACCCCACTCACTTAACAGATGAGGCTATTGAGATACAGAGGAGTTTTGATTTGACTAATATCCATAGGTAGCAAGCAGCTGACAGCCAGGTCTCCCTGATCTTAAGCCCAGGCTCTTTCCATTAAGTCATGCCACCCAGGAGAAAGCCAAAGTGCTCTAGGGAAAGTCGAAGAAGGGGTCACTTTGGAGTCAGAAGACCTGGGCCATCCTCCTGTCTCTGCTACTGATATGCCAGTGTGACCTTGGACAAGTCACCAGGCTTTGGTTTCCTCATCTGAAAAAAATAAAAGTTGTTAAAAACTTTTTATTGACAAGAAAACAAAACAAAATAAAGGATTTGGATTAAGAAACCTCTAAAGTCCCTTCCAGCCTGGATCAGTGATCCTATGACTTTATTTTTTTTAAGATATAGAAAGGAGTGGGGCAAATGGAACCTTTATGTTGCAAGGATTATAGCAATCATAGCATTCAAAAGCAGGGTGAAAGTTTCCAGATTCTCTTGTTCTGGTTCAATAGCCTGATCTTACAGATCTTTAAAGAATCAAGATTCCCAGCAGCCACTCTGAATGTTAACACAGGCCTTCTGATTTTAAACTCCTTACTCTTTCTTTTTCTGCCAACATTTATTTATTTTATTTTTAGTTTATGGAATAAAACAAGCATTTCCACGGAACTGTGAACTGATCCAATCATTTTGGAGAGCAATCTGGAATTGTGCTCAAAGAGTTATGAAACTGCTTATACCCCTTGACCCGGCAATACCACTACTAGGTCTATTTCCAAAGATGATTAGGGAAAAAAGGAAAAGAACCTATATGTTCTAAAATGTTTATAGCAGCTCTCTTTGTGGAGGCAAAGGACTGAAATTTGCTGTGATGCCTTTCAACTGGCTAAACAAGTTGTGGTATATGATTGTGATAGAATACTGCTGTGCTGTAAGAAATGATGAGCTCAATGAGCTTAGAAAGGCATGGAAAGATTTGCATGAAATGGTGAAGAGTAAAGTGACCAGAACCAAGAGAACACTGTATACAGTAACAGCAATATTGTTTTAAGAATAGCTTGGAGCAACTAAGAAATTTTGACTGTTAGGAATACCCCTTCCTGTTTATACCACACCAACTGTTGCAAAAAAACTTAGAGATCACTCAGTCCAAAGTTTAGACTCAGTCTGAAGTATACACATTAGGAAACAATGTCTGAAAAGAACACATGGTTTGATTAGGATCATACAGATACTTTTAAAGACCTATTCTCTTACATTACATTGAAAAAATTATATATAGCATAAATATTCACTTACATGTAACCACTGAGCTCACACATCTTACTAATGACTTTATTTTTGAGGAGAGGTATAAACTGATAGAACATTCGAATTTATTTTTGAAATTGGGCTTCATTTACAAGGTGGAGAGGTTATTTGATTTGCAAAAGTGTACACCTCAGTTTTTCTTTAGAATCCCACCAATGGGTCTAGTTCTTTGATAAAAACTCTCTGCGTTGCTTTGTATCTGCTTCTAGACTTGGGAGTCAGAAGACCTGGGTTGGAATTGCTCCAGACTGGCTGGTGTGACTTTCTGAGACTCAGCTTTCCTCATCCCTCAAACAGGGAGGAATCAAAGCGGCATCACTTATCTTACAGAATAATTAACAGGATCAAAGGAAGTATAGGAAGGACTATGGATTGTGAAGTTATAAGAGCATAGATTTAGAGCTGAAAGAGACTTTGAAAAGTCAGTTAGGTCAATGTCCTCTTCATAGATGAGGACACTATCTCCAAGGTCACCCTTAAGAGAGAAAGCTGAGAATAGAGACCAGATTTCCTCATTCTCAATCCAGTGTTCCTTTTAATGCACCAGAACAGTTCTTGGTGGTCCTTATCACAGCTAGAAATTCTGTGACCCTTACAAATATTTGACAAATACAAATGTAGAGACTACACAAAGTGAGGTACACAGGTTGGAGCTAGAATAGAAAGCCATCTGGAGGCTTCACACTGGAATTCCTTCCTTGACAAGGCATGAGGTCAGAAAGGGCATGCTGATGATGTAGTAGAGATAAATTGGAAGGTTTTATCTCCTTTATTTTCAACATTTCACTTTCAAGGTTGAAAAGCTCCATGTTAACAAACGTGTCTTAGCCTTATGCACAGAAGGGAAATTTCACTGCCTAGCCTGTCCAGACAGAGGCAACTGGATGATATATTGGACCTCAGCAGGGTCGGGAAGACTTGAGTTCAAATATGGCCTCAAACACTTACAAGCTGTGTGAGCCTGGGCAAGTCACTTAACCTCTGCCTCTATTTCTTCATCTGTAAAATCAAAATAATAACAGCACCTACCTCAAAGAGTTATTGTGAGAATCCAGTAATATTGGTAAAACATTTAGCATAGTGCCTAGGTTACTGTAGCACATAGTAGGCACCAGACAAATGCTTAAACCCTCCCCTCACCCCACCCAAAAATATGAGGCACTTTTTTACCAGTGCCCCAGCTTGGAGCACTTAGGTAACTTCTAGTGGGGGGGGAGGGAGGGGAGGTGTGGGAACTAATTAGCTCTCAGAGCCTCCTCACACTCTCTATGGCTTGTCTGGTTTGGTCCAGGGTACTGCTTTCTCATTCCTAGAGCTAGCTGTGGGTTTAGTCCTCCCTTCTGTCTCTGGCTCTCTCTGCGTCTTTCTGTCTTCCTGTTTCTGGCCCTGGCTCTATTGCTGTATTTCTCCCTCCCCATTTCTGCATCTATCTGTTGATCTCTCCACTTCTCTGTTTCTGCTTAGTCTCTTTTTCAGTGTTTGTCTCTGTCATTCTGAGCTTTAGGACGAGTGAAAATTCCTTTAGGGTGCTCACCCATTCCCCCCACTCCTGAATTAACTAACTCTCATTCACTTTTGGCTGTCTTAAACAGGGAGCTGGGAGCTAAAGAAGGAATCAGCTCGACTGTTCCTGGGCACATCCAAGGTTTGGGTGTGCTATGTCACTGTTCTGAGAGAAACAGGGAGGCAGACACAAGACAGAGACAGAGAGACAGAAACAGAGAAAGAGACAGAGAGAAGAAGGAAAGACAGAGAGACAGATACACAGCGATAGAAGACAGAGAGAAACAGGAGAGAGAGAGAGAGAGAGAGAGAGAGAGAGAGAGAGAGAGAGAGAGCAGGAGAGGG